AGGGGCTGGGGTGTGGTTCAGTGGTAGAGCCCCTGCCTAGAATCCCCCAGTGAGGGGCTGGGGTATGACTCAGTGGTAGAGCCCCTGCCTAGAATCCCCCCAGTGAGGGGCTGGGGTGTGGTTCAGTGGTAGAGCCCCTGCCTAGAATCCCCCAGTGAGGGGCTGGGGTGTGGCTCAGTGGTAGAGCCCCTGCCTAGAATCCCCCAGTGAGGGGCTGGGGGTGTGACTCAGTGGTAGAGCACCTGCCTAGAATCCCCCAGTGAGGGGTTGGGGTGTGGCTCAGTGGTAGAGCCTCTGCCTAGAATTCCCTAGTGAGGGGCTGGGGGTGTGGCTCAGCCAGAGAATGCATGAGGTCCTAGGTTCAATTCTCCATGCCACCAAATATACAAGTAAGTAAAATCAAAAACACTCTGTCCTAGGGTCCATAATTCTCTCAAAAGCCCTAAGAGGCAATGCCCTAAGTACACCCATTTTACTGATGGGGAAATGGAGACAGAAGGGTACATGATCTTGTCCAAAGCCACATAGCTATGTAAGTAGCAGAGCAAGGATTTGAACCCATGATGTGAAACTCCAGCATCTGAACTCTCAGCCCTCCAAGCGCACAGCGGCGCCTGCTCCTCAGGATGTGTCTCAGGGCTGGGGATCTGGAGCTCTGAGGAGGCCATTCCCCACCCCACCCCCAAGTGTCTGGGAGTGTGTATATGTGTGTGTTCCTCCAAGCCTCCTCCACCTTTGGGGCTCCTCTATCTCTACCCCCCTCTCTCATTCTGGAGCCTCTACTTCAGCATACTCCCTTTGTAGGGCACTACTGAAACCCATGCGTCCTGTGCTAAAAGTGGGCACCTACTGTATACAGGAAAGGAACTGGCAAACAGGCTCTGCTTTGAACTTCAATGCCCCAGTAACCTAAATCTTTCTCTGCCCATCTAAGCCAATATGCCTCCTGTTTGGAAGCTTTTGTGGGAGCTATTGCCTATGTAAAAAGCACCCTTGGGCAGGGCACCGGGCTCAACCACCCTTCAGGGTCTGTTATGTAAAAAGCACCCTCGGGCAGGGCACTGGGCCCAACCACCCTTCAGGGTCTGCCCCACCTTCCAGCTGTGCCACGTCTGTGCCCCCAGCTTCTCCCCATTCGGGGCATCGGGCTGGGCTGGGCTGTGCAGAGCGGTTCCGGTTCTGTGTACCTGCCAGCCCCTGGTGGTGCCAATCCAGGTGACAGCAGCCTTATGAATGAAGGGCTCATTGTTTACATTTACAACTGAAGGGGAGGAGACCTCGGGCTCTCACAGCAGAGGTAAGGTAGCCCCACGTGGTGCTCCCCACTTCCTCCTCAGAGCACAGCCCTAGGCCAGCCCCACCCCCACCCCACCCCCCCTCTGTCTGGGGCACCTTTCAAGATTAAGGCCAATTCCTTTCCTAGTTCGAACACCCCAACCCCCACCCCCCGGCCATTTGTAGCCCAGAAGACAGGAGCGGAATCTCAGAGACTGGGTGCATTCCTGTGTTGTGACTCCTCTACCCCTAAGGGGTCCCCTCTGCAACGACCTTTCCAGGCTTGGACCTGGCTCTAAGAGGAGGCACTCGTGGCAAAGCCCTGTGTGCCCGGGGGCAAACACACAGGCCCCGCCTGAAGAGTCCACGCGGGCTGGCCCTGGAGGCTCAGCCCTGCATCCTGCGTCGCCACTGCCCCTCCCTGGGGGGAGGGAAAAAAATCTGCTGCCTCACCAGCCACCAGCGCCAGCTTGGGGGGGCACCCCTGCGGAAAGCCACCCTGCCTGGGCCTCCCCCTTACCCTCCTCTTCCAAGCCAGGCTCTCCAATCAAGTTTTGCTAAGGGCACGAATCAGGCGACCCCAGGTGGCGGGGCGGGGGCCTCCGTGTCTCATCCCAGATGCCAGGTCTGGAGATGAGGACTGATGGCCGCGCCCACCGGGCTGTGTCCCCCCCTCTACCCCCAAGAGCCTGAAAGCCTCCCCCGAGAGCTCTGCAGTTCGTCCAGCTGTCTGACCTGCTCTTGGAAAGAGAACCCCAACAAATACACCCGAACCCCAGTCTGTGGATGTGCGCACCATCCGGAGGTGCAATCCAGGGGCGCCCCCCAATCCCAGCAGCGTGCCCTCCGGCTTGAGGAAGTTGGGGTTCATCCCGCCCACGCCCACCAACGGCGGCGACCCTGCCCGCTGTCCCTGCCCACGCAGCGACAATGCCTCGGTGATGGTACCCCCCTTTTCTTCCCAGGCTAGGGTGCCGCCGCCCCCCGCGACTCTGCGTCCTTTGTTGCCCGCGCGCCCCCATCGCGCGCGCGTCCCCAGAGCTGCGCCTACCTTGGAGCTCCAGCAAGCCACCAGGACCCGACACCCCTTCGCCTCTTCTCGGTCCGCGCGCCCCGGAAACGAGGATGCTGCGCCGGTCCTCGCACGCCGCTCCCCTAACCCGGTCTCTGCGCTCCGAGTCCGGGCCTCCTCGCACACGATCTACAGCCAGAAGGGGACAGAGGGAGGGGCCGATCCAGTAAGCCCGGCTTCTTCAGCCTGCGCGCCCCGAGGCGGAGCCGAGCCGAGTCGAGCCGAGCGGAGCCGAGCCGAGCCAGGAGGAAGCCGAGTGGAGCGGAGCCCAGCCGAACGGGGCGGAGGCGAGAGGAGCCGAGCGGAGCGGAGCCGAGCCCCGTGGAGCCCTGCCAAGGCGAGCCGAGCCCAGCCGAGAGAAGCCGAGCGCCAGGAAAGCGCAGCGGCCGGAGAGCGAACAAAAGGGGCCGGCGTACGTACGGGCAGGCGCAGGAAGGTGGGGCCCCGGGAGCGAGTGGGGGGGAAAAAACGGAGTGGGGGGGGGAGCGTTGGGGGCGGGGCCCGCAAACGTGGTCTCACGGTTCTCCGGCGTTAGTGACGCTCGGAAACTGGGGAGCGGGCGGGCGGAGAAGACTTTTGGAACCTCCTCTTCCCCACCCTGACCACCTACGGCTGACTTGGACCTTGGAAATAGAGTTCACGCACACGCGCTTCAGCTCTAGGCACCTATGTGTGTTCCCTTTTCTGTTTCAGCCATGCGTGGCTTACGTGAATGTTCCATATTAGGAGACACAGAAGCTTGAGAATGCAAGGGGGCGGGGCTGGGATCTGGAAGGCTTCACGGAAGAGTTGACTTAGGGACTGTGTTGAAAGAGGCAAGGAGCGGGGTGGGTCATGCAATTGAAGTGAGAACTTCAAGTGTGCCTCCTGAAGGCACTCCCGGACCACCTGGCAGGCTGATTGGGCAGGGGGCAAGCTGAGCTACGTAGTGAGACCCTGTCTCAAAATAAAAAAAAAACCCAAGGTCTCACTTAGCCTGGTGTGGTGATACATTAACCTCTTGGCCTCAGTTTCCCCATCTTTAAAGAAGGCAGGGTGCTTCAGTTCAACAGAACAAAAGAGTGAGTGGTCGTGTAATATTGGGCCAGCCCGGAGGAGATCCGCAGCCAGGAGAGCTCAGGTGAAAAGAAGGAGCTAGCCGGGCGGTGGTGGCGCACGCCTTTAATCCCAGCACTCGGGAGGCAGAGCCAGGCGGATCTCTGTGAGTTCGAGGCCAGCCTGGGCTACCAA